AGAGGAGGATAACGGTGGCGAGGATTTTACCTTGCGGTAGGTGGTGCCGTCCTCTTCGACGGTCCATCCGGCCTCCTCGCAGAGGGCCCTGAGGACGGCGTTGTTGTCGCAGTGCTTGGGGAGCTTGTAGTTGCCGTACAACCGGAGGCCGGAGTACATCTTCGCGGCGATGGCCCGCCGCCGCCGCTCCCGCCGCTTGTTGTTCTCCCGTTCTCTCCACGTCGGCGTCCTCGATCCCGACGTCATCTCCGCCACCTCCCCTTCCGTTCGCCCTGCTCCCCACCGCAGCACCACCAGATCAATCCCTTCCCCCGTACCAAAACGCCCGAGACTAAATCACTCCAATGGAACGCGTACACCAGCCCGGATCTCCAGAGCAAGAATCGCCCGAAGGAAACGAATTGGCCGAGAGCGATCGGAGAGAGAGAGAGAGGGGGTTGCTTGGACTCTGAGGAACAAGGCTACAATAAATTAGGGGGGAGGCGATGTGGAGCCTTACTAAACCGCCCGTGAGAGATGAGATAACTACGGCGATGCCACCGCGCGCGACGCGCGTGAACCGAGGGAGGGAAAGCGTGGGTCGTCTCGTACGATGCCGTGACACTTGGGATGTGCTTTAAGATGAGCGCCCCACCGAATCGGGTGACTCGATTCCTGACTTGATCAGCGTGTATATGTATCATCACATGCGATTAGATTTCGACGCAGAATAGCGATCTTAATTGATGTGTATTTATTTATCCGCGATCATGACTAATCATGATTATTCTTAATTATTTATATATATATATATACATATATAAGTAGTAGGAGTAAATATGACAATTTTCGGAGTTTGCAAGGACAGAAAGGTAAAAGCATGTCAGATTAGAAAAGATAGCAGCGAGGAGGCAAGCGGACCGATTCCACGTGACGGAAGGGTTCCCTTACGCGAAACCCACTCGACGCACGTGGAGGGTGGGACCCTGGCGGCCAACATCAGGCGCATTAGAAAAGTGTGTGTGGGACCACGCACGTCCGTGTCAGTACGCGGCATGATTCGCGGGGTGCTCACGCATTCGTTCCCTCCTCTCTCTCTCTCTCTCTCTCTCGTCATATTAAATTGCCGCATTATATATATATATATATATTAGCCTGTCGATTACACTCGGGATGGGCTCGATGGTCTCCTTTTTGGTGGCGCGTGGCGAGTTGAAACGCCGCGGTGAGTCCCCACGTGCATGCAGAGCCCAATTGCAGGACAAAAGTTACGCGCCTTCCCTCCCCACGCGGACTCCCAATTATTGTGGCACGTCAACGAGCGTTGTGTGTCTTCTTCCTCTGCAAAATAGGCGGAGAAGAGCTGAAGGAGACTCGAGGCTTGCGAGACTAATCAATCCACGATTGCATCTCTCCGTAGTATCTCTATTGATTAGCAAATGAAATGTGGAGAATTGTAGACCTCATCGCAATTATATTTTTTTCATTTTAATTTAAATTTCATAATATAATATAATTAAATATATACTTTTTTTAATTTAAAAAAATATAAGTATAACCATAATGAGTGTAATGATCTATTTTTTAATATAAATAAATAATTATTAAATTATTAATTTTTTAATGAAACTAAATCAATAATTGGTTCCTAACATAAATAGCATCACTCAGGCCACATCGAGATCCAAATCGGATGATAACAAAATCCAATCCAGCCCAATTCAAACTGATCGTTTATATTTATTGACCTCGACGACTCCATAATCAAGTAAAAAAAAAGGATAAAAAGTCTTAGTTCTAGAACACCATGGACTCAGCCCATCTATTACTGTATGGTGATGTCTTCCTCCGATGATGACTTCGTCACCTGGTGGCCTCTAATTTGCTACGTCGCATCTAATCGTCAAGCTCGGTCGATCTCAACTGACGACCTTAACGACGAGGGAAGAATAGCTGAGTTCTAGAACATGACGACCCTGATGACGTAGTCCGGAGAGAAGAAGTCAACGCAGTCTTAGAGAGGAAAGGAAGAAAGGAAAACACCCAAGAAACCAGAACTAAATCCAGGAGGAAGCTTCCTCCAAGAACCAAAAAAAAAAAAGGGTGGAAGAAGACCTAAGATTCTATTTTATCTTTTCATCGTCGCGAATTTTATTGATTTTGCATAGGTAATACTGAATATACAAACAAACTATCATCGTCGTTTTGGTGAATGACGAACTACACAAAGATTTAAGGATCATTACTTACTTGAATATTTATTTTATATATTTATAATTATTCATATTTTTTTATATCATCATAATAATATGTATGATATCTTCGGTGTGCTTGTTTTTTTTTCAATAAAAATATTAAATAAATATTAGGTCTACACCTTTTTTTTTTTTTAAATTATCCACACCCAAATGGTAAGTGACGAAAATGAAATTCAATTCGAGAACTTTATGATATATTATCACTACTCAAACGTTTATTTTATATATTTATAATTACTCATAATTTTAAATCATCATAGTATGATATCTCGACGAAAATATTAAATGAACATTAGGTCTATATCTATTTTTCATACCTTCTTTATGTGTGCTTAAATAGTAAATTACAAAGTGAAATTCTTATAATATACTGTCAAAATTTACGACATACTCTTCATGATATATTATCAACATCTTGATGGATTATAGGAGATTAAGATATAGAGTGACATTTGCGTGTAAAATATACTTGATGTTACTTGTTTTAGATAAAAAAAACCATGAGAATAGTACGTTGGTGTTAAAAATGGTTAAATCACTGTAAGAACAATCGAAAGAAGCAAATAAAGGAAGGGTTGCATGCACATCACTCCTTGTCATCTCCCTTTTTATCTTCGCATTGTTTGAACATCCCGAGACACAAAAGGCCAGTGGAGAAAGGTCGCGATGCTTCCTTTTTGTGTGGTGCACTCCAACAAGGCACATCACCAACTCCCACTTCTCACAAAAGAAAGCCATGATGGGTTCCATAGCTCGGGGACGACTAGCGAGACATCGACATGATGTCGCCTAAATTAAAGTGGGCAATGAGAGGTCACATGTGATCGGCGAGGGGGTCTTGTCCACTCCCACCCCAACATCTCTAGATCGGTCGGATGGCCTCGTAATGACATTTCTCACCCGAGCTTCGACTAGTATGTAGAATTTGGGCTATGGAGTGATAAGAAGATAGATAGAATATTATTATTATTATTATTATTATTATTTTATTGAAGTCGAAACACTTTATCATAAGACACCACAACCGTATTACATAATTCGATTCTTAAAAGATAGATAAATTGGATATGATAGGAGATTTGATTGAAATATTCGTACCGAGATTAGATATTTTCCTTACCATATACGATTAGAATCAACATCGACATCAACAACAACATACATTTAGAGAAGCGATAAACATGACATACGGGTAGAGCAAAAGATTTCTAAGCCAACATATAATAAAGAAAAAGAAGAAGAAGAAGAAGAATAATAATGTAGTAGCAATCTAGATTTGGTTTAGGGGGGGGGGAGGTGGAAGAGCATCGATGCTACGATCTTTACTGTTGACTCCGGCCGATCCCAAAGTAAGAAAAGCATATATCCCATGCATTAGGATGTGACGGTTCACCATTTGTAGTACCATAAAGACACACACACACAAAGTCAACTTTAAATCCTCTAAAATTATGGCCAATTATTTCGTGGTAATTGAGTTCACCCCCACATCAATTCTATATGTTATTGGAACTTCTCCTCTTTCCAACTTTTGCCGATCCTCGGACATATCCTCCGCAGGGCCACAGATTACCGGAACACCTCATCACCTGACATGGTCATTGCAGCAGTCAACAGGATGGATAAGAGTAAGAATTTTACCCAAATATATAGTTTTATATATAGAGATAGAGGTGAATTCTTGAAAAAATAAAATCTCGAGTTTGATTTGATGTTTTTTTTCTAGAGCATCTCAACTTTAAAAATTTCAACAAAGAATCTTTTACTACGTGAAAAAGAACATTCTACTCTTACATTTCTCTAACTCGTCATCGTCATACTTTATTGATTGTACCCTTATATGCTTTGTCAGTGACCCTCATGTGAGGAATAAGGAGAAGTAATAGTAGCCATCGTCGCTAGCAAACGTCGAACGAGGGTTTATCATTGCTCGCAATCCTAATCTTATATAGGGATACCTCCCTTCATCTCATGCGTCAGTCCTCGTTGGAGGGAGGACGTGGATCGCTATGACCTTTTAAGCACATGACTAAGGCAATAGCGAGGCTCAAGAATAAAATAATTATTTCTAAAAAATATTATGTAAGAATTAAAATTTTTCAAAATCAAAATGCTAGAGAAAATTCTCAAAGAAATTTTTTCCCAAAATAATAAAATAATATATATATATATATATATATATATATATATATATATATATATATATATATATATATATATATATATATATATGTGTGAACTTTAAAAAAAATCTATAAATTTGATGATTTTTGAAAAAAAAAAAAAAACCATGTGTCATGGTTAGAGAACCTCTTGTTATTTTAAAAGATCGTTTTGACTCTATCTCTATTAAACCCGTCATGACATTCGTTGACCTTGATGGCTTTGCACGCTTTGCACTCTTAACGTATGACTTTTATACGAAGAAGAAGAGACTCCAAAAATTATCATCATCGCTCGTAACCATCAGAGCGACGATTTATTATCGCTTGTAACCCTAAACCAGTGTGGTGTCACTCTTCTTCGTCTTAACTATTATACAAGGAAAAAGACGGCACAAGAGACGTTATTATCTTCACTCACCAGAAAAACGACGAGACGAGAGTTAAGAGTAAAATAATTATTTATAAAAATATTATTTTTGTAATTAAAAAATTAAGACGCTTTCTCAAAAAATTTCAAAATTAAAGAATATTTTCCAAAAATTCGCCCTCTATATATTATGCATATCCATTGGGTTCCACCATCAAAGGAAAAGGGGGAAGGCAGGGTGAAGGAAGGAAGAGCGATCTTGCTCTTCGTTGCTTCTCCGTGTTCCTCCTCATCGTAAAGGCCGGACCTTTCCGCAGTATTCCCGCCGGTGTCGCCTTCCTGGAGATCAGAGCCGGGAAAAGATTATTCTTTTGGTGTTCTGATCTTGGCACGACGCGGTCTCTGTCGATTCTTTCGTCAGATGCGCAGACCTTCGCTGCCCGATCGATTGGTGCTTCCGTGAGCGGATGCGGTTTGCCCTAATTCTCCGGCGGTGTTAGATTGATTCGTAGGAATGGAGAGCCCTCTGGCGAGTACCAATTCGCCTCCCGCGTTCCTCACCAAGACGTACGAGATGGTGGACGACCCGACGACCAACTCCATTGTGTCGTGGAGCCTCACCAACGCGAGCTTCGTGGTGTGGAACCAGCTGGAGTTTGCTAGGGATTTGCTCCCCAGGTACTTCAAGCACAACAACTTCTCCAGCTTCGTGAGGCAGCTCAATACTTACGTAAGTAGAGCTATTCCACTCAAAGGTCTCCTTTTCTGACAGAAATCAAAAAGTTTTTGGGCCTCCTGTTTGTCTTAATTGCTTCTGCTAAACAACCTACTGTTCTTCACTGAATTCTTGGTTAGAAATCAAATGATTGAGCTGGTGAACTGTTTTGCACTATTCCAAGATTCAAGCGGCATATCTGTTGATTTACCATAGGCTTGATGGACTTTCGAGGAGTTCTTCCCGTGTTTCCCTTCCTCGATTCTTCTTCTTGCAGTGGCTTGAACTTCACATGTTTCTCCATAAGCGGTTCCGGTTCCAAGAATTCTTAAGTGTTCATGTTGTTCCTTGCAGGGTTTCAGGAAGATAGAACCGGATCAATGGGAGTTCGCAAATGAGGGTTTCAAACGGGGACAAAGGCACCTCTTGAACAACATACACAGACGCAAGCCGGTACACAGCCATTCGCTGCACGGCCAACTCAACTCTTCAGCGCCATTATCGGACGCTGAAAAGCAGGAGCTCGAAGAGGAGATCGAGAGGCTTAAGCAAGAAAAGGTTGTGCTTGTGAATGAGCTTCAGAAGCAGCACACGCAGGTGCAGCACCAAATGCGGTCCTTGGAAGGAAGATTACAGGCTCTGGGGAACCGACTCAGAGGTTTGATAGCCTTCTTGAAGCGAATCGTAAAGGAACCTCGGGGCCTATCTAACCTCGTGCAACACTTTGATCTTCACAGCACAAGGAAGAGGAGGTTGCCTCATTTTGATTGCTTCGATGAGGATGCTAACATCGATGACAATCAAATTGCAATTTTCCAGCCAGACATTCCTTCCGTGCAAGCACTTGACACGGAGCCTTTTGAGATGCTGGAATCATCCTTGAATTCATTGGAGAATTTCTTCAGAGGTTTCGGTCAAGCGTCCGGTGGTGGCATGTTCTATGACAGTATCGTGTCCTGCCCCTCCTCTGATTTATATCTTTCCGAGATGAATGCATCGTCGGAGGATACCGACGCAAAACTACAACCTTCTTCACCTTGTCCCGGAGATATCTATACATCTCTAGACACAGCTGAGCGCACAGGTCATGTCGCAATTCATCCGACAGATTCACGTAGCAAGGTTTCTGAGATAGATATGAATGCAGAACCCACTGCTACCCGTGTCGATTCATCAAGAGATCTAACTACTGGCACAGCATCTACTATGCTTGAAGGAGTAAATGATGTGTTCTGGGAACAGTTCTTTACAGAGACGCCAGGTTCTGATGATGTGCAAAAAGTCCAGTTCAAAAGAAAATATTCAGATGGCAAACGCAAAAAGAAAAGCAAGTGGGGGAACACATGGTTGAATAGGAAAAATGTCGATCACCTTGCGGTAGGGAAAACCTGATTGCCTCTGTTTGGTATGTTAATATCTGATTTGCTAGTGCAGTATAGTTCATGGTAGTCATGTATGATGAGTTAATATTTCCCCTCAGTTTCTTGACTTGATTTTACTGATCTAGCGGATCGACTCACTTCTCCGATGCATGTTGTTCGAAGATCCAATTCGACACACACTGTGTTCGATCTTGTAAACAGGTCTGATACATGTTTAGATCAGCTTTTTGTTTGTGATGCTTCATAGCTCCTCTGTTTTTCGGGTCGTCTCATCCAGTTCGATCGTATGTTTTTGTGGTCTCTCGGATCGTATTTGTGTTGCTTTTGGAAGAGATTCATTAAATTATGATTTTATTTTGAAGAATTAGATATAATCGCAACAGAGATAGAATAAAAGATACTCAATTTAAGTTGGTGTGAATAACGAGATTTATGGATGATTTAATCGATCCAAAATAGTTGGAATACTATGATTTATTGCTGCTGTTGTAAGCAGACCAACAATGGTTGCGAGACACAGTTGAAATCCTCATGCTTCTGCGCATGGGAGCATCTGTGCCCTGCAATCTTATGCTTGCTGCCATCGATCGCCGAGCTCTCTTCGGTTCGGCGCGGAGATCTTGAATCCCCGCAACGTTCTGAGAACATCTTATGGGGGAGCAGGGGAAGAGCTGGAAGACCGGGGACGTCGTCGCCGCCTGGGCGGCGGAGCAGCGCGACTACGACTACGGAAGCAACACCGAGTGCTACCACTACACCCGGCTGGTGTGGAGGACGACGCAGCGCGTCGGCTGCGGCAAGACCTGCTGCAGCAGGCGGCGACACCTACGTCGCGTGCGAGTACGACCCGCACGGCAACATCGGCGGGAGGCCTCAGCGAGGAGTGTCCTACAGATAAAGAGTGACAGGGTATTGCTTCGCCTTTCAATCATGGGGTTCTTCGTCTTTCCATGGCCATGACGGAAGTGAAAACCAGCTCTCAAGTTGACTTTGGTCGACTTGAATTCCAAAATAAGTCAACTTTACAGAACAGAATTACTCTTCAGATTGGCTTCCGCAATACTCAAATCGACATGCACGAAAAGTACGCAGCAAACTAGCAACCAAATGGCAGCAGAATCCTTCCATGGATAGCTCAAGAAGCTTTGGCTGTCCGTCAGCAGATCCGCCAATCCTGTCAACATTTCTCACAGTATTGGGCTAAATTGGGCTTATTAGTACTCACAGTATGCCATTCATTAGAGCAATCACAATCCTGACGTCCGAATCACAAAGAAATCATGTTATCATCCATGTCGAAGTGTCTCCACGTGCGTGAACAAGACCTGCGGATGCTGCCTCCATCTCTCGCCTTCTCGTTGTTCCCGTAGGGCATCCTTGGAATATGTCGGAGTCAGACCTCTTACCCCGAGCAACGCGATGCACTCCTCTCTCATTTCTTCTTCCCACCTTTTGAAAGATGGGGATGGGCTGAAGACTTGCACAGACTGATGCCCTGCCCTGCCCTCCCCAAGTCACGTCTACATCACGAGAGCAAGCACGATTTCAGAACCCAAATCCTGGACGCCATCAAGGTGTTTGCTTGATTGCCTCTGAGAAGTCGTAAGTAGGAAACCCCATCTAAGCACTATTTCCACCTCCATCGATGACTATGTAGATATAGATCCATCACTCCTATAATTCAATTTCACTACTACAATTCATTAAGATGAAATAGGATGGATTGGCAATCTACTTAATATAATTACAATCCGATTAAGATTCGTGGATTAGAATAGTATTCTTCTTTTCTTTTACCTGCAAAATAGTGGAGGCTGCAAACGCAGCATGTGTTGTACATCATATTAAAGTACGATTCCTTCTTATCCGACCGATGTGACATCCACCTCCCTTTCTATTTCTAAATATTATCGCCAATTTATTATATCCTCCTTCCATCCCACACGTTTTAGGAATCATCTTCTTCCGATCCCTCTCCGCTCAAACGCCTTTGGACTCCAAATCATCTCTATGATGATAACACATGGAATCATTCATCGTATCACCCGACTCAACGCCGCTTGAATGGACTAAAAACCTAATTAATCTATCTTAGACGGACGGCGGAGATGACATCAGTAGGTGCGAGGAAGCCGCCGCGAGGGTCCATCGAGTCGTTCGTTTGGGTCCAACTCTCCGAATCGAGGTCCACTCAAAGGGATATACCCAAACGGCGTCTCCATCCATCGGATAAGCCAACGAGAGCCGCACCGACTCCCGCAGGTATGTTATTATATGTCCTCCGCCTGTGAAATCTTGACGCCATATCGGCCTTATTGTTTAGTCTATCGAGTTCGGTCGAGTTTGATGGTATGCGCTGTGAGGTGGTTGTCGCCGGTCGAGATGACGCATACGCACAGGTCGGAGTACACCACACCCAAAAGCAGTCCCCATCATCCGATCCAACCGGCATCTCAATTGGATTGCTCGTGTCTTAACATACTAAAAGATTTCTTCCTAACCTACATGGAATTCTACGCTGATAGCGATTAGGTTGCCGGATCCAACGTGGATTAATTTAAGATTCGGTTCGAGATTAACATCTCATGAGCTGCGAGTATGGGAAGGGTCGACTGAGTCAACCGACCATAAAGTCAACCGGTCGGTACTGATCTCAGAAAAGGCACTGATGTTTCCCGAGTGCGATACTAATCACCGTTGGATTAGTGGGTAAACCGACGCGGCGTAAGCTGGTCAACGGACGCCGAGACGAATCCACTGGTATTACTGTTACGAGGCGGCTTACGGAGGTGTGCGGAGTCAAATCCAATGACCGAACGTACTAAGTGGCCACGGGCTGGGCCGGGGTGTAGGGCAGGGAACGAGTCGGGCATTAGGTGGGAGCCGGCCGCCGAGTTGGACTCAACTCGGCCGGAACGAGGGGGTGGGGACGAGGTGGAGGAGACACCGTCACGGGTGACGTGGCCACGTGGTCCACGGCTGGAGGGGCTACCCGTCAAAGATGAGGCGGAGGAGACTGCCGTCTCGTTGGTGGTGGAAGCGGTGGTCCCCGCCGGCACTCACTCCGTCCCTTCGTTTATTATTATTATTATTATTATTATATTTTTAATTAGTTCGAAAGAGAACGAGTACAAAAATAATTACATCAATTATATTTGTTGATGGATCTATTTATTGGATAATATATTAATTTTCTATTAAGAGAAGTGGATCATCACTCCGATGCCGACGATGACATGATCATATTTATTCCTCATGAGTTTGTGATGTTATTATCACGCGAAGTTGTTACTCAAATCGAATGAAGAAAAATGTCTTGATCTTGTTAACCAGATAAGGATGACTCATCAAAAGAAAAAACCTCCCCGCAGTAATGAAAACTACTGTTGGGGGTCCAAAAATTCCATCCCGTTATTCAAACCCGTTCCCAAATTTTGACTCGAAGGTCGTCCAAATTTGATCGAGTGTTCTAATCGGGAGAGGCAAATGGATCCGACAGAACCCGATCGGTTGGCCGTCTTCCGCTCCCCGGTTAGGGCATGCAGAGGGCAGTGTGGGGTCCACCGCGTCTCCTCCAATCAGAAGCCGGCCAGGCCGTGCTTTTAACGGATAGAACACTTCGATTGATGGATGCATCGAGTCGGGACCCTGCTGGGCCCGCGGGGGCGGTGGGATCGAGCGCGGTCTGTTGGTCAACACGTGGTGGGGCTCGACGGGTGAGGACGGGTCGACTCCAGCTGGCACGACGCGGGCGAGTCGGCTGGCCGACCTTATCCACCTCCTCCCTCTCCCTCTCCCTCTCCCTCTCCCTCTCCCCACGCCATTACTACATTTCCAAATTCTAAAGTATATACCTCCACTACACCCACCGCTGTCCTCTCTGCTTCCTTTGCATGCTTCCTTTATTTTCTATTTTCCTCCCTGTATCACCGCCTATTACAGCTAATCTGCTACGGAGCGAGCCAAGGGAGAGGAAAAGAACAGCTTCGAGATCTTTTTGCCCCCTTCTTCTCCTTCCTACATTGATTGCTCCCCGGATCTAGTGATCTCTCTCTCCTCCCACCTTATTCATTTCTTTCCATCCTTGCCGTAATCACTCCTTATCCTATTCCACATCTTCTAGGGTTTTCTTTCTGATTGGATCGAGGTTGTCCAAGTAGCAGAAAGAAAGTAAAGGCAAGATGATGTCCAGATCGTATACCAACCTGCTCGATCTGGCCTCCGGGAACTTCGCGGCGCTGAGCCTGGGAGCAGGCGGCGGCGGGGGACGGGGGCTCCGGCGGATGCCTCGGGTGATGACTGTGCCGGGCACGCTGGCGGACCTGCAGGAGGAGGAGGAGCGCGCCAACAGCGTGGCGTCGGACGTGCAGTCGTCGCAGGCGCAGGACCGTATCATCATCGTGGCCAACCAGCTGCCGGTGAGAGCCCGGCGCCGGCCCGACGGACGCGGGTGGACCTTCGCCTGGGATGAGGACTCGCTGCTCCTGCAGCTCAAGGATGGCCTCCCCGACGACATGGAGGTCCTCTACGTCGGATCCCTCAACGTTGACGTCGAGCCCCACGAGCAGGACGACGTCGCTCAGGCCCTCCTCGAGCGGTTCAAGTGCGTCCCGGCCTTTCTCTCCCCTGACCTCCACGAACGCTTCTACCACGGCTTCTGCAAGCGCCGGCTGTGGCCCCTCTTCCACTACATGCTCCCCTTCTCTGCCTCCTCGACTTCCGACCACGGCAGCAGTGGCCGCGCCGGCGCCGCCCGAGGCTCAGACGGCCGCTACGACCGCTCCTTGTGGGAGGCCTACGTCCTCGCTAACAAGCTCTTCTCCCAGAAGGTCATCGAGGTGATCAACCCAGAGGACGACTACGTCTGGATCCACGACTACCACCTGATGGCCCTCCCCACCTTCCTCCGCCGCCGCTTCAACCGCCTCCGTATGGGCTTCTTCCTTCACGTCCCCTTCCCCTCCTCCGAGATCTACCGCACCCTCCCTTTCCGCGAGGAGATCCTCAAGGCCCTCCTCAACTGCGACCTTATCGGCTTCCACACCTTTGATTACGCCCGCCACTTCCTCTCCTGCTGTAGCCGGATGCTCGGCATCGAGTACCAGTCCAAGCGCGGCTACATCGGCCTCGACTACTTCGGCCGCACCATCGGAATCAAGATCCTGCCTGTCGGCATCCACATGGGCCAGCTCCAGTCCGTGCTCCGCCTGCCCGACAAGGAGTGGCGGGTCAACGAGCTGCGCCAGCAGTTCGAGGGCAAGACCGTGCTCCTCGGCGTCGACGACATGGACATCTTCAAGGGGATCAATCTTAAACTTCTCGCCTTCGAGCATATGTTGAAGCTGCACCCCAAGTGGCAGGGGAGGGCGGTCCTCGTGCAGATCGCCAATCCAGCGAGGGCCCAGGGGAAGGACCTGAAAGAGATCCAGAACGAGATAGAGGAGAGCTGCGAGCGGATCAACAAAGCGTTTGGGCATGCGGGTTACAGCCCGGTGGTTCTCATCGACCGCACCATTTCGGCCGTGGAGAAGATCGCTTACTACATCATTGCAGAGTGCGTGGTTGTCACAGCGGTCAGGGATGGGATGAACCTCACGCCGTATGAGTATATCGTCTGCAGACAGGGAATCTCTGATTCCAAAGATTCTGAGGCCGATGGCCAGAAGAAGAGCATGCTGGTGGTCTCGGAGTTCATCGGATGCTCTCCCTCTCTCAGCGGTGCGATTCGGATCAATCCATGGAACATAGAGACCACAGGGGAGGCGATGAATGAGGCCATCTCTCTTGCCGATGGGGAGAAACAGCTGCGGCATGAGAAACACTATCGGTACGTCAGCACACATGACGTTGCTTATTGGTCAAAGAGCTTCCAGCAGGACATGGAGAGGACTTGCAAGGACCATTTTAGGAGGAATTGCTGGGGAATTGGTCTGGGATTCGGTTTCAGGGTGGTGGCTGTCGAACCTAATTTCCGGAAGCTTCATGTTGATGGAATTGTTTCGGCTTACATGAAGGCTAAGAGAAGGGCTATCTTGATGGATTACGATGGAACATTGGTCCCACTCGCATCCATTAACAAGCAGCCCACCGCAGAAATTATTAGGATAATTAATACTCTTTGTGCAGATAAGAAGAATGTAGTTTTTATTGTTAGTGGAAGAGGTCGGAATCATTTAGGGGACTGGTTTTTGCCATGCGAGAAGCTTGGAATTGCTGCTGAGCATGGATACTTTGTTAGGTATGTTTATTTTTCTTGTTTTTATGCTGTTAGCATCCTCAGTAATTTGGAGATAAAACAAATTGCATAAATTTGCTCTGAATGTAGGGGACATGCTTGGAATCAGTAGCATAAACAATTGAACGGATTTGGTCATGTCATTCATTCATAATGTTTATTGCTTGAGCTATTAGGATTATAGATGAGGCAATTTGGTTAACTTTGCTTGCTTACTCATGTATGGTAGCAAGCATCAATCATAATTCATCAAAGATGATGGAAGAGAAAAAGAGAGAAGAGTTTTGGCTGATATGTCATTAGTTATAGTTAAAAATTATTCTCATTATCAGAAGTTGACACGGTGTACACACTTTCAAGGTGGACCATTGAATAAGTAGAAGAAGGAAAAAATTGAATTGGGGATGATAATATGCTGTTGTTTGGTCCTCAATATTTGCAGGTGGTCTCAGGATGAAGAATGGGAAACCTATAGCCAGAGCACTGATTTCGGGTGGATGCAGATTGCGGAGCCAGTGATGAAACTATATACAGAGTCTACTGATGGATCTTCCATTGAGCCCAAAGAAAGTGCTTTAGTTTGGCATCATCGTGATGCTGACCCTGGCTTCGGTTCTTCTCAGGCAAAGGAAATGCTTGATCATCTAGAAAGTGTACTTGCGAATGAACCGGTCTCAGTGAAGAGTGGGAAGTTTATCGTTGAAGTCAAGCCTCAGGTATGCATTTGTGAATTGTACCGTCTTCCTAATCATCACCAATCTCACAATGCATCATTCTCTATGCCATGTTACCTTGGACGAACAGCTTGCACCACGAGTGGCAGTTGGATTTAGAATTCTCTGGCAACTGCTTCTCTATCACACACAGCCACAAAATCATATCTATTGTCATCTGTGGTTGTAGTGGATAAACTACCGATCATGCCTGGCTTACTATTTTCTGTATAACATACATCCAGCACTGGGGAAACTGCAAATTTACCATTTTGCAAACCCTGCCTGGTTAGCAAGTGTGTTTAATTTTATGTATCTCATTATTCAATAATTGCTTTTACAGGGAGTTAGCAAAGGTCTAGTGGCAGAGAAGATTCTCTCTGCAATGGCAGAGAATGGAAGACAAGCGGATTTTGTGTTGTGTATCGGTGATGATAGGTCAGATGAGGAAATGTTTGAAGACATTGCTGGCGTAGTGACGAGGAACCTAGCAGCTCCAGACACATCAATATTTGGCTGCACCGTCGGACAGAAACCGAGCAAGGCCAGATATTATCTGGATGACACGGCTGAGGTCAGAAACATGCTTGGAGCACTTGCAGATGCCTCTGAGGAGTCCTCTTTCGAGGAGAGATTTGAACCACCCTTGTCCACTTAGATTAAAAATGACCATTCACAATGATAAGTGTGCTTGTGATCGACTTCCTCATATTCCATCGGCAGGGTAAAAGTAAAATCTTCTGATTGGTATCAAATCTGAGGTAGATCTGATCGAGGACAAATTGCGTATTGCGTTTGATCAGACTGCTTGATAGGCAATCCCCCGACCATGTGAGAGATATACTGGGAGAAAAAGGCATATTCAAACATGAAGTAAGGTGACGAGGGAGGCCATTCAACTCCCCAGGGGTGTTCTTTTACTGGATTGATTGGAAAGCTGTTTAGGAAGTTAGGTGTTTACTATTTGTCTCATTTTTTTGACATCGAACCCTTGCTGTAGAAGATCCGAATTTTTCTGATGATTTGACATGTTAACCCGATGTGACTATTACTGATAACATAGATTTTTTTTTTCTATCTTCTCTTATTCATGTACATCAGTTGCTATTTGCGTATGTATGAGTCTTTGTCATCGATGTTCTCTACTGTGGTGAAGCAATGGAAAGGGAATGAAAACTAAAAGGAAAAATGGAAGCTCCCCAAGCAGGCTGCTGCTCGGATGAGATGATCAAGAGTTGTTCTCACCTGAGAGGAACTGATGCCAGCCCTTTTATGTTCGTGCCATGCCCATGCGATTTCTTAGTTTTTGGGGATTGTGAAGAACAGCCATGAAATTGTCTCTCTGCTTGTGAATTTGATGTTTGATCAGATGACAACCTTCTCATATGCTCCGTCTTGAATGGTGATGATGGCAGGGACCGGTTGGCCTTGCGGAGGAATGAATGTAGCAATCTCAAGTTTGAGTTCCTGAACTCAAACTTGATCCTTTCAATTTTGCTCATCTCAATGCCAGAAACTATCTACTGTTTGCATGTAGGGATCATCCAAAGAACCGCTGCTTGATTCTTGATGAAGCATTGGCCCAGGGCTTTCCCAGGTTCTGGTTCCATCCATGTCCATGACCAACACGCAGGGGACAACAGCCGGCCGACGCATGGCGACACGCTACCGACAAAACGACACGAGGAATCCCCAAATCTCCGTAACAACGCATCAAAAGTGACAGTGTTCCCACCCGCTCTCTGCCCACAACCGGGTCGGTACCCGTTAATCTCACTTGGATCCGAATCAATTAACAAGTCTAACATCAACGAGATGCCATAAAATAACAATCCTAGTATTATTTAACGACATAATAGCGACGGGTAGGGTCTCCAACATTTGAAATCCGACCCGATTACCAACTTTTTTACCCGAATCCAGTTATAGCGGTTCGGGTGGACGCGATTGCGAACGAACCCGACCTGTTGTATCACTAGCGTAGGCACACCCTCTGCCCAATCAGACAGCAGGTAATTTTTCGGGTAAACAGAAAATAGTAAGAAGAATTTGCTTCGTTTACGACGAACCCTGTTCGAAACCCGCTCGTCTGTCTCTCTTTCTCTCTCTCGCTCTCCGTCTCTCTCTCTCTCTCTCGTCTCTCTCTCGCCATATTGCTCTCCGCCGAGCTCATTCATCGAATCCATCTGCCAAAAACCTAGATCAGAGAGAGAGAGAGAGAGAGAGAGAGAGAGATGGCGGGGTACCGGGCGGAGGACGACTACGACTACTTGTTCAAGCTGGTGCTGATCGGGGACTCTGGGGTAGGCAAGTCCAACCTCCTCTCCCGGTTCACCCGCAACGAGTTCAACCTCGAGTCCAAGTCCACCATCGGCGTGGAATTCGCTACCCGCAGCATCACCGTCGACGCCAAGGTGCTCAAGGCCCAGATCTGGGACACTGCCGGCCAAGAGAGGTCCCGCTTTCTTTTCTTGAACCTCGGTTCCCCTTTCTGGAACTTGATCATGCTTCAAATGCCGATCTACTCTTCGGTTGTGGAAGGGCCTCTAGAGATCTAGGATCTCTGATTCTGGAGTAGAATCAGTGAACCCACACTTTGTAGATGAAGATTTCATCTGATAAGAACAGAATTTAGTTGAAGTTAGTCGCAGATTAGCCTATTTGGAGTCAAATTAAATGAACTGATATCTTAACATGTTTGTTATTTGACAGTTCAACCCCAAAGATATCTCACTCAATTAACCATCACATCATATAGAGCCGATTACAAAGGGCTGCCTAGCACAAGGCTCCCTCCAATATGGGTCCGGGAGTTCCAATGTGCTCATTCTAATTCCTGCTCGCAAGGAAACTGCGCCCGTGACCCAATCCTGATCGTTTTGGTTTCAAAAGGGCAATCTTGTTCCAAATCCATTCACTTGCGTTGTTACCGTGCTATCATTGGGTACATTCAAAGTAAATTTCAGATGTGATTGCGTGGGTTCCTATCGGTGGACATTCTACGCTTCGCCTTTTATGTTACTTTCTTATTGTTGGATTGCATTGTGGCTAAGTTACAGTAGGTCATCAAGTTAGACCTGCACCTATTAAACCTTTGACACAATTTTCATAAAATTATTTATACACTCTGCCAGTTGCTTATGTCCTCAACCCTTAATGTAATAAGGGTGGGAACATGTTTATCTGTAAAATCCGGATGAGTGTGCCTGGTCATATTGAGCTCCATGTTCACTTCAGTGGAAATCTCCATGGTCGATTTCCAGTGTGTGGCATCATAAAGTTACTGATCCTTAATATGTTATTTATTATATGATTGGTTTACTTCAAGGACATCAAGGTTCTGGTTTTAAGCAAGTTGCTTCAACCTTTGTCTTTGGTTTTGAACATTGAGCTGCCTTTTTTCTAGTGCTCGAAGCCTTAAGTCTCAGGTTAGATCTAAATGTGTTGGTAGTGTATCTGATAATATTATGTCAGGATCTCAGAATATGCTAAATTAAGTCTACCATCATCTAAATTCATGGACTTTGCCTAGAAGGGAACATTTACTCATCATAAGCTTTCTATAATTTACTCGTATGGCATGCAGTTGTATACTTCTGCATTACAGCCCTTTGTCAGGATGTTGCAAACTTGCAGTCCTCGAGCAAGTTCCTTTTATTCATCACATCAGCTTCTCTTTATCGACTGTATTTTTACACCTCCTGGGAGGAATTGTCTTTGAATCATCGCATCAGCCTGGGAGGTCAAGGCCATGCTTTACACCGTTCTGATATCTGTTGGTCATTTAACTATCCTGTTGTTTAGCTACTCCTACGAGTGGTCTCTTTGGTAGATATTTGATACAGAAACAGTTAGATGCATCTGAGTTCACTGTGAACCTAATCTGAATATTCTTACATGATAATTTGACAAGATCATCATTCTTGTGGAGGCTAAGTAATTGTTCCGTAGTTTCTTCTTTATAGTCTAAAATTTGCACAGATAACATGCAGCTGGAAACAAATAAACTACCACTTGTCACAACTGGGGTAGAGAAAACATGCAGAAATGCTCTAGAAGGATGTTATAGTATAATTTGTGAATAATACAATAGAACCTAAAATTGCCAGATCTTGCATAAGCTGAAATCTTTTCAAGTTCTAATAGATTGCTTTGACCCACTAATGTAGGTATCGTGCCATAACTAGTGCTTACTATCGGGGAGCAGTTGGTGCATTGCTCGTGTATGATGTTACGAGACATGCTACATTTGAGAATGCTGCACGTTGGTTGAAGGAGTTGAGGAACCACACAGATCCTAACATTGTTGTCATGCTCATTGGGAACAAATCAGACCTCCGACACCTTGTTGCTGTTCCTACTGAAGATTGCAAAGCTTTTGCTGAGAAGGAATCTTTATATTTTATGGAAACATCTGCACTAGAAGCAACAAATGTGGACAATGCATTTCAAGAGGTCCTGACTCATATTTACCGCATTGTCAGCAAGAAGGCAGTTGAAGCAGCTGATGATGCGGTGCCTACTGTACCAAGTAAAGGTGAAAGAATAAACGTGAAGGATGATGCTTCTACGCTGAAGAAACTTGGCTGCTGTTCAAGTTAGGTAACATTGATGTTGCTCAATGCTTGCTTTCTCTTTGTGATGCATGTCCTATTTTTTATATTATTTGAGTTGTCTTCTTTTCTTTTGAAATTGACAATTCATTTGAACATGAATAGACTGAGATTTTGTTATCTTAATGTTTGTACCTGAAAATCTTCGTACTTAAATATTCCGATTGCTGAGACCGGGATTTGCTGTGGTGAAAATTAGAATTCACCAAACATGCATACATGTGTTTTATCGTAGGGATGGGATTTATATGTAACCACTATTTTTGATAGTGGAATTCCTCTTTTTCGGTCTTGCACCGAATTCCTGGTTTACGTATGCATGATAAATTTTGAAATATCTGTAAGTCATGGAATTAAAAATTTCTCCACAGCTAGTTCTTGGTTGTTTATACACATGATAAATTTAAAAGTGCCATTAACTGATGGGACTGAGAACTTCTTGACAATTATATTTTTCTTATCAGTCGGTTAACTGGTAGAAGCATTAAAATGGTCAAGCCTTGATTATGGTAACACCAATGGAAGTTACATTTTACAAGGAATTATTCTGTAAGAAGCTATATTCCTTATTCTGGGAAATATTTTTCTTTTTAGGAAAAAAAATGAAGCTCAACTTTGATAAGTTCAGACGTGTGCAGATTTCACAATTTGCAACAAGCATGAGACTACAATATTGAGGTGAAATCAATTAGGAATAGTTAGACTGAAAGTTGTTGGCTTCACTATGAAAGGGCAATATGCATTTGAAAGGGAAGAAGTAGCCAATAAGATGTTGAAGCGCAAATCTAGGGTTTTGGTAATCTCCCAAAGATTGTTGCCAGATTTGTGTCTAACTAGTTTGTCGTCTTTGACTTCTTCGATACGTCTTGAGGTGGCTTACGCCTTGACACAGAATAATTTCTTTTTTAACATCCTGATTAATGATAATATCTTAAGATTAAGATTGATTTATATGACTCTGATAGATGTACTAATATCAAACTTTTTATCTTTTTTTACATGATAGATGATGGTTTCTTATGCCTGCCTTTTCTAAAGATATTCAAGAAACTCTATAGAGTGCTTCAAAATCTCTTGTGATAGCCATTGTAGGGAGCAGTGTACTCTTTGACCAAAATCAGGATAACAACAATCTGATTCTGATTACAAGCGACAAGGCTGCCTCTCATGTTCTTACCACATCTTTATAATACAAAAAGTCCATGCATAAATTTAAATGCTATCTATCTTTGCCGCTGTACATGATTTATTTTAGTTGGGAATCTTAGTATGAGAATGATAAAAGTCTTACTGGGATACGTATGTCTGTGTTTGATATTGCTCATCAGTATTTGAGACTGTTGTCCTCTATAGAATGGGTTGAGAAAAGAATATACTATTACCTCAAAGATGGGACATAGGGCACAAAAATATTACCTATGCCCACTCCAACTATTTTACGGATGTTTTTGCTAACCATCATCTAAACATGGTTTTTTCACACTACCAACAATGCATGGCTGATAAAGAACTGCTAAGCCTTTTACGTTTCTCTAGAACTTCTTCACCCACAAATCTGGCCTTGAGCTAATCCTACATTGTCTTCATTCTCCTGTTGCTTTTTGCTTGTTATCCATGTAGCTATGGAACGAACTGATTTGTGTTTGCCTGCACGTAACATAGCTCATATATATCTGCTTCTACGTTACGAGATCAGTGATGAGAAAGTGGCTAGCCTTCAGTAATGGCAAGATAGAAGATGGGTTTGTGAGAGAGACATTTACCAACTGCTACGAAGAATTGAGTCTATTTTGGATTTAATCTGCTTTGTCGTGTGTATGACTTTGCAAACTAGTGGGTGTGTATATGTATGTGTGTGTGAAGTCATTATTGAAGAAGTCAACCAAAACTAATAAGAAAGTCAAAGTAAAAAGCCATGTACGCACGCGTCAGAAACCACGACAGATTAGCCCATCACACGCCGTAAGACACTCCCGCGGTCTAATCGATGGCCGTCGATCATCCGTTGGTCCCCATCGCCGACGCCAGCCCCCGGCGTAGTACCACCGAGGACTCCGGCAGCTCCTCCAGCCCCGCGAACAGCGAGTCCTCCTCTCCCGCCGCCGTTGCTGCCTCCCTTTCCTCCAGCATCGGCACCACTGCCGCGTCGGCGCCGCCGAAGTGGACCGAGCCGTAGAGCAGCTCGTCGGAGCCCGCGGAGGTGGAGCATGGGGAAGCCACGTCTGAGAACCACCGGAAGCCGCCGTCGTCGATCAACAGCAGCGGCTCGTCCTCACCGATCACCACGGGGCACTTCTCTTCCGGCTCGGGGGGGCAGGGTTGGGTCGACGGCGGAGGCGACGGCGCTGGCTCCTCCACTGGGAGCTGCGCTGGCGGAGTCGGGCGATTCTGGTGGTGTCGGCCGTTCTTGGGGAGCGGCCAGGGGTGGTTGTGCTCGAAAGAGTAGCTGACGACGAGCGTGGCGGGGTCCAGGCGGCTGCGCTCCACCTGCTTCCTTGCCGGGCAACCCTTCCAGCTACTGCACCTGTAGTAACCCCTGCATGTCCATGTACGTATCAGAACCAAGCTCGCTCGCTCGCTCTCTCTCTCTCTCTCTCTCTACGCACCTGGGATGAGGGGAGCCTTTGATGGGCTTCTGGCCGTACTTCCTCCACGCCCATGAATCCGACGGTGGGAACGCCTCGCCACCGCCGTTCCTCGACCCGACTCCCTCGGCGTCGCCGATGGGGATCGACACCACTCGCTTCTGGATCGACCGCCGGCTGCCCGACCACAACACCAAAGGAGAACATATGAACCTCGATCTGTCTATATCCCAACGACGAACCGCAAGCCTACCTTCTCTTCGTGCAAGGAGGAGCAGCCAAGGGGTGGGTGGGTTTCAGGTCACGGTCACCTCCGCCATGTTTCGACCTCTCCTCCGCTTCCCATGCATCCATGTTAAGGTCTCACGAGCTTGTTTGATCGAATAGAGCAGATAAGATGAAGCGAGGAGCTCAAGACGATATCTCCATGGTTTCCATTTGCATGCTGGGAGAGTATAAAACTGCTGCCGGTTGTGTGGGTTCTTATTTATATTATACGAAGCTGCTCTCCATGTCTCTATCCAAAAGGAACGAAGCAATGCGAGGGCAAGTAGCACAAATAAACTATCAAGAAGGATGTGAATGCTTTCTGGTTCTTCCGTGACAGGAAGTGTCACCTTCTCTCCATTCTTCGGATCCGCCTGAATCTGACATCCAAAGCCAATTGTCTTACCTTCATTGGAAGTCACACACACACACACACACTCTCTCTCTCTCTCTCTCTTTCAATCTATATACGAGCAAGTCAAATTCTCTCCTTCATTTCCAAGCCCTCCGACCAAACTCCATCATGAATACTTCAAGTATGTTAATTTAGTTTCCTTTCGCTAAACAGATTTGCAGTAGTATTCATGAGAACAAGGAGAGAGTTCATTTAATGCATGAGAGGACTGAGATCATTAATCATGATTTCATTCGATGAGCTTGAACTATTGATATTGCAGAGCCAATAACCATTAAGAAATAATCTTCCTGTGGTGGCAAGGTTTATCCTTGAAAGGATAATTTAGCCCATAATGTTTCCATAGATTAACATACGCAACCTTATAAACATATATATCATAATTGAACAGCTCTTGCTGGCTGTTTAGTTAGGAAAAAGGAACGGATCAACCAATAATTTCAATTAGACTATTCGTGTATCTATCTACGTTTGCAATAAATTAATGGGATCACAGCTCGCTGTAATGCGGTTTGGTCAAACGACTTGTTCGAGTTGGATCTCTTCTTTAATCCCTATTTAATTGTCGGGAAGCAGTCAGCGGAAGAATCGCCGTCACAGCCAGAGGCATATGAACGCGTCCTCCGTCGAGGAAGAGTCAACGAGTTATAAGATCTTTTAATTGCGACGGTCAACCAGTAATGTGGCACGATATGTCGATAAACGCGGTGAATTGGTGGGAACGATGCTGTGTGCTCATACGGAGGTGGCTCGATTCATGGCCGGGAAGTCGATGATGCAGCATCTCCAACGTCAATCATCCAAGGCATTCGGCTGGCCTTCCTACCCAAAGTAACGGATCATTTCATGGCTTTTCTTATTTATTTATTTATTTATTTTTGTTTTTATTAATGATTTTAATGTCTTACGATGATAGCTAAAGACTTCGATATATTCTAATAAGTTCTATCGACCAAGTGTACATGGTTTTTATCTTAAAGCGTCTCTCTCTCTCTCTCTCTCTCTCTCTCTCTCTTCCCCCTTAGAGCTTATGAATTTATATATGTTTTGTTAATTAATCATCGCTTTAAGAAACTTATTTTAATAGTAAAAATTAAAAATAATAATTTTAAAGATTATATATAATATATATGTGAGACATATAAAAAATTTATATTGTAACACTCATGATTAGTCCCACATCGAAAGTGGACAAAATTAAGATTGACTTATAAGGGTCTGATGAGTGTAAAATTATTAATTTCAGCTTAAATATTTTGATTAATAATTTAGACCAAATGAAATTAATAGGAGCCCATCAAGCTTAGACTTAATCAAGATATATTCACATAATTTGTTGGGCTCAACATTAGCCCCATGACTTAACACCAATTTGCTTGCTTATTATTGTAATTAATGACGAGTGTGCGGTGACTATATAATTTGATCTTAATGGGATTTGGATGAATGGGGACCCACATGTGGTGATTACATTATTTCAAGATCGGTCTGTAAATTATCATGTTTTAATATTTTGGATCTAATAATCGAAGAGTTTTCTTCCCGATCACGTCATTTATCATATATTCGAAAATTATATTGATCTACGTGATGACTTCAGCTGGTTTGCTTATCGTGGACGGTGGATTTGCCCTCGCAAGCCGGCATTCCTTTGACGAGAGGAAGCAAAAGTCAACGGCATCGGCACGCGGCATCCACCGCGGCCCTTGGGCTTTCTAGAGAGGCACGCTCCGTTGGTCCAAACGCCCCGGGCTTCGTAGGGTTGGCGATGGACCATCCCATCACATCAACGGTGGTGAGATCACGGGACCAAAGCATCGCATCCACGCATGGTGGCGACACGGTGGCAATGGGACCCACGCGTTCGACGTACGAACTGCAGCGTCACAAGCAACCATTTTAATGTCACGTAAATATCCACTCCAAAATTATTTTCAATTGTATAATATATATATATATATGTATATATTAAATATATCTCAAAACGATACTCTCTTATTTTTTTAAAATAATACTCTTAATTTAAAAATATCTAAAATATCCCTCAAAAAAAATTTTCCGTTATTTCTTTTAGCTTGTTTATATTTTTAATAATATTTTAGATATTTTATTGACATACTAAAAATACTATAAATATTATTAAAAAATTACTATAAATGATATCATATCATACCTCTTTGATTGTCATTGCTCATAGAACATCATAATATTATATTTTTAAGTTTTCAATTGATTTAATTGAGATTAATATCATTTATAATATTTTTCAAATAGATTTTACGGTGCTTTTATTGTGGTAGCAAACACATCGTAACAAATCAAAATATTATAATAAACAAAAAAATTAAGAGATAATTTGAGTTTTTTTTTTAATTATATGTACTGTTTGAAAAAGAACAAAAGAATATTTTCTAGAAAACTATCCATAAATATATTTATTTAAATATTTAAAAAATTTAAACATCTTTTGCCATCACACGATAAACTCAAGTCAACTATCCAACACTTCAGTATTACATGATCCATACTTTGGTATAAATTAACCAATAACTTAATATCACATCCTAACATCACATCATATCTCAAACTATATTTATTTTAACATAGCACAATTCTACTTAAGATGAGAAATATCACATTAATAGCCCCAAAGCAACACTAAAAAAGGTTTCCTTAAGTGTATTTTAAAATAATAATAATAATAATAACTCACATTCATTGCTTTCGATTTTATTTTATTTTTTAGGATTTTATCGACACTATAGTTCTTAAGCTAATTTAAACATCAAAAGATGACTTTGTTGATGCTTCCTAATACCACACGATATCGCAAGATTCGACATATTCTTGGTTCAGACGATGATTTTTATTCCCTACTCCATCTCAGCCGTCCAATGGGCCCAACTTCGTGATCTCGATATCTCATCGAGATCAAGAGGCCAGTCTAAATCTAGCCGTTCATCTGGCATAAGACGCTGCCGCCATCATAACGTTGGGAAATGCCCTTTATCCGAACCCAAGAAACGAACGCGTAGAAGAAACCCAGTAGATCACGACCGTCCATCGAATCAATCTACACCACGACCGTGAGCCGCACCGACAGTGGTGCCGTCGAGGGTGTCGTTAATGGGTGGCGTCCATTATATTTCTTCCCCACCTTGGTGACGCCTCCTGCCAGCCCTTTCCCCTTCCCATTTGGTATGCTCGAGCGCTTCGTCGAGCGTCTTCGGAAAGTAAACGGATTTCTATTTCCCTTCCCGGAATAAGAGAGCCGATGATGGGCGACGTGAAGTCGTCGAGCCCGATGGGGAACAGGGAAAGGGATCGCGAGTTGCTCATCCCCGTCGCCACCGCCGCCGACGACCCCGATTCCAGGGCCTCCTCCTCCTCTGCCTCCCCTGCCCACCACCACCACCACCATCCCCATCCCACCTCCCACTCCGGTCGAGAGGTGACCTACCCACCGCGATCTCTTCGTCCCTCGTCGCGTTTCTCTTCGATTTGTTCTTCTCCCTTTTCGATTTAGTTTCATGTTTCCTCCCCCTTCATTTCTGTGGTGATTGGAAGCAATTTAGCTTCTGCCATGTCGATGTTGACGGATTTAAGCCTGGGTTTGGCTTCCTGGTCGCGAGGGTTCGTTCGTGAGTCGACCAGTCGCCTGGAAAGTGACGCTGTTTATTTGACCTAATTAGGCTTGAGCTTCAAATGGATATTCGCAGCTCCTTCTCAAATTTGGTGTTATTGCGCACCAAGGACTCACCATTACAGAAAAATTCTTTTTCTTCTGCTATTTGCTTGCCGTGGCCATTTATCTGCAAAGAAATATGTTGATTATACATCTTGTTTGCTACGGCAACTCAAGTTTAGGTGCAGCATGTAGCTAGCTTCTTTAATTAGTTTGGGCCATTTAATTGATTGAGATACCTTGTACATTGATGTGCCTAAATCCCTTGGTATTCTTTCCCATGCTATGTCACTATGACATATAGTCTTCATCCTTACGCCACATTCGTGCACTCACAATCAAAGTCTTCAATGTAGAGATCATGACTCCCTATGTCTGTATATATGGACGCATTTGCCTATGTTTTGCAAAGCATGATACTTTAGTTAAATGCTGGAAAGAGGATATGTGGCTTTACTTTAACGCGCTTGCTTCTGTTATATTGAAAATCTTGTCAAAGGTTGCATTGATGTGTGTAAGTTTTTATGCTTATTGATGCTGCTTTTGTGAAGAAGTGGTCTCGATAACTTATCCACTTCTTTGATTGCAGGCATGCTATAAAGTCATCCGTAGTTGGGTTTCAAAAAAGTTCATGACTGGGTGGTAAGCTTCTCTTAGCAGTGTTCAGCATGATTTATATTTTACCTTTTTTATTTTAATTTCCAGGCATCTTGCTAGGGCGTTGTGCTTTGGAGTTCCTTGATTAGCCATTTTTCCTTGTCCAATGTGGTTTCAGTTCAAAAATATTGACAAAATTATATGAAGAACCTAGGGAAAGGCCTGATAAGGTTTCTAATAGCCATTACTCATGGTACTATGGACCCCCAATGGTCACTGTAACCCAGTCACAAGGGCAGCAATCAATTAATTTCTCTTTTGGTTTCACTTGTTCCTTTTGTTAATATTATATAATGTAAGAGAATGGAAGCTTCTTTTTAGCCTTTTCCTTCATCTCTTTATGGCCTTGCAGCATTGGTGTTGACTGCTGTTATATAGTGCAATGATGTTGGTAGATGATAAATTCAATAGTTGCATGGTGGTAAATGATAAATTCAATAGTTGCAACAAATAACAAACACAATAGTTGTAGCGTCTCCTCAGTTTCACTCTCAGTCAAAGGCATCGTGTCTCCTTTGACTTAACATTTCACTTCTTATTTTCTTTGTTATGCTTCTATTCTTTCCTTTTTTCAGTTTAAGGCTATTATCAGTTATAATTGGTCAAATGGCAACGGAAACTGGATTTCCCACCATCTATATCTTATCGGGAAAGCACTTTTTTCCTTTAGCGTATGAGTGAACTCCTCTCCACTCTTTTTAGGTATCTATGCTCCTATAATCAATCCACTTGGATAGAGTTTGATCAATGCTTGCAATTTCTAACTTTAGAAATCGAGAAATTAAAAAATTAATTTGGCCTTAGATGAAGCCAGTATGGATCGGCAATGTGGTATCAGAATCAACCAATATTGCAAATCATAAACACCCTGTACCTACTGATATGAGTGAAAAATATGAGACCACACAAGAGTTTTAATGACTTTTACAAGGTTACTAAGAATAAAATATGATGTTGAAAGATACCAAGCAAACAGTTTTGTGTTTGCTGGAAGTGTCAATTCAGGTCCTTGAGTTCTGCTTTTAGATATCCACAACTGCTTTGTTGTTTGTCAATATGCCAGACTAGGGATGACTGGAATAAAACTTTATGGTTGCTTAGCTCAGGGATTGCTCTACTGTTCTTGGAGAATCAGAAGAACAAAATAAGTTTGAACTTCCAGTCATTTTTAGTTTTCTTCTGATTCATACAATTTGATGACTATTAAAGCAGTTGACAGAAACAATGTACATATGTTGTAGAGTTGTCTTTGGCGATTCCTCGATATCAGCATGTTCTAATAGCCTTGGTTAGACAGCATCACATTTCTTATTTGTTTCTGGTCTACGTAAGGCATCACATTTCTTTGTTTTTTGGGTACTTTTAATAAGTCACCATGATCTGTCAGCTGTACCTAGGTCTAATCTTATTAACTACTGGTGTATGTTCCTTTTTCTGCATTTTGCAGTGTGATTCTTTTTCCAATTGCGATCACCTTCTATATCACCTGGTGGTTTATTCGTTTTGTTGATGGATTCTTTTCTCCAATATTTGCTCAGCTTGGGATAAACATATTTGGTATGCACATTTTTCTTTTGAATTTTCCTTTGTAGTTCAAGAGACATTCTAAAAATGCATTAGATTTATTACATAGAAGTGTTATCTTCAAAAGGTAAGTGTTGGCTATGCTTTCTTGACTATTATAGTTGATTTTTCTGTAACTAGTTTCCGTTTGAAAGTATATGTTTCCACACTGTCATTGTTGATTTTTCCTTTATTGGCTTTCTTTTTAAGCCGTATCTATTTCATTTTTTCATAATAGCAATATTATTAGAGCTTTTTTGGACCTTCCATGTTAAAGCCTTTGTTTAGCTTCATCCGTTATGCTGCAAAACCAACGGCTAACATTGTTGTTCACGTTTAATTGCAATTCACTATTTTTCATTGGAAAATCTGATGACTAAGGTAGTCGACTTTTAATTGCTCAAGCTATCTTTATGTTCCTATGCTGATCGCACATTTAATTGTATTCAAAGGCTTGTATATGGAAACTGTATTACAAGGCTTTGGGTTTGCTCTCTGATGCATCACAGATGTACAAGTTTGAAGATTTATATTACATAATTAATACATCTGAAAAGAATAGGAGCTATTATTCTAGTTCTGTTTTTATGTAGATTGGCATGATTTTTAATCCGGCTGCTGGGTCATTCGTCTTATTTTGGTGAGACAGAGCAATATATCAGTTTTTTTGCTTCTTTCATGGCTCACTTTTGTCTTTGTTTTTTATGCTTGCATCAGATGTATTTAGGTGTCCATCTGTATGTTCATCTGCATGCCTTGGCAGGCACACATTCTTCACTAATCGTGTGCACTCAAGAAATGCACATGCACCCTAGTCCATATGTGATCAATTTCTTGATTCGTCATTTCTTCTGCTTGAGATATTATCATTTTAGTAGCACTTGTGGTTTTTACTGATTTTGGAGCAAACATGGTGTAAGATACCCAAGTCAAAAGAAAAGGTTTTGTAGTTGATCCTTTTAATTTGTTTGCCATTTCTTCCATGCTTGTATGTTGAATAGTTGAATCCTTGCTTTCACAGGACTCGGCTTTGTAACTTCCATATTGTTCATCTTCTTGGTTGGAGTGTTCATGTCATCCTGGCTTGGGACATCTGTCCTCAATCTTGGTGAATGGTTTATCAAGCGGATGCCATTTGTACGTCACATCTACAATGCCTCCAAGCAAATTAGCTCTGCTGTGTCACCTGGTAAATGTCTCTAATTGCTTTATCTTTTAACCTATTTATACATCACTGATTTTTTTTTTCTTTTCAATACAGACCAGAATAAACAAGCCTTCAAGGAAGTTGTGATTATTAGGCACCCTCGGGTTGGCGAATATGCATTTGGATTCATCACTTCCACCGTCATTCTTCAGGTCCTAATCATCTATTATAATTAACTATTGGTGGTATTATGTGTTGCATAATAATTCATGCTTGTTTTTGTAGCACAAATTCATGTTTATGTGCTTAAGCATTTTGTTCATGCACTGGTCTCTGCCATGTTACACTTTAGAGGAAATATTGCTTATTACATGCACTTTCAGTTCATCCTTAAAAAGTTTGAGAGGAAAACCTGGAAGCTGCAAAAATGTTTTTGGACACGCTGAAGATTCAAGTCTTCAACTCTAGGTAGCTGCAATTTCTGTGATCTGATTGGTTCCATGAGCCTCTTTTGTGTTCTTGAAATAATATAATTTAGATAAGTTCCTTTTTGGGGGATGGATCCAAATGCAGAAGATTATGAAGGCGATGTTTGGTAATATGGCGGCACTACATGCCAAACGCTGACTGCTATATAAAATCACAATCTATACTATCAATGGAGATCAAGTAATTAAAAAAAAGTAAATAATTCTTATGTCTTCACACAAGCATCAAGCATCCATTTGCACATATTTTTCGGCCTAGTGTCTAGGACTAACTAGACACTATTTGTGATCATGTTGTGCTTTCTATATTTTGAAATTCTGCTATTGTTACTTGTCTATGGTCTCATGTTTAGTATGTCACTTGATTTTATAACAGAGTTATTCTGGTGAGGATGAACTCTTCTGCGTCTACGTTCCAACCAACCATCTTTACATCGGTGACATCTTTCTGGTCAACTCAAATGATGTTATTAGACCAAATCTCTCTGTTCGGGAAGGAATCGGTAGGTTGCTATCCTCATGTTGTTTGATGCACTTTGCCTATGTCAACTATCCTGAAAGAAAACTACAATATTAGTCAATTAATTTTCAGTATATGCTTTTTTATGAATCTTGAGTTTATCTTTAATTGCAGAGATTGTTGTTTCTGGGGGTATGTCAATGCCTCAGATTCTCTCAACACTGGATCCGCATACAGTACCTGAGAGAACCAGAACCTACCCTTAGTTTGAGATATCAGATACATGCAGGGTATGATTTCTCAAGGCTTTAGGCTGTGGAAGACTTTTCTCCCATTTTTCTGAGTGGGCTGGCAACTTTGGATGCCTCTTAGCGTCGTCCTCCTTTTGACTCGGTTTATATATCTGTCTTGTAAATAGGTTATAAGAAATTTGGTAGTATTCTACATGCTGATGTTCCATATTTTACTCTTTTAAGTTCCTCATCGTGTTGTAATTGTTAGGTAATATATAGTTCCCGCATTATGGATCGTACAAGTATTTTTGGTATAATCATATTTTCTTTAGTTAGTCATCTATCTTTGATTCTTCTTCGGCCATTGCATTATTTTTTTCCGGACGGGTTAAAGAAAAGTTCGAACGTATATGATAAAAGAGGAAGAAATAGAAAGTAATGAAGCATACTTTCCTAAACAGGCTGAATCGAGAGGAAGAGAGGAACGAAGTAAAAAATATTGTTGAATCATACAAATAAATAAAATATAATAATGGAAGTATACCTGTTAATTGTATGGGCCATTATTGGGCCGTCTCGTGTTGGTGCGGTGATCGCACGCGCGAGTCGTTCCTTGATAGACCCTGCAGGGGTTTGAGTGATGGGCGAAAGAAAAAGCGGGTCGGTCGCGGAGAGATCCATGGCTCCCAGGGTTTCTCTCAACAAGAAAGAGGGAAGGTCTCAGAGGGGCCGGAGGAGCGTCGATGGCCAAGTGCCTCAATGAGTGGAGCACCTCGACGATGCAGAAGGCCTTGGCGATCACCCACTACGGCTTCATCCCTCCTCATCCTCATCGGCGTGAACTCCGAGCCCAAACCCCAACTCTACCAGTTCCTCGGCCCCGTAATCATGGTATGATTCGCTCCATTTCTCTCTCTTGGATGGTATAGTAGTGCATTTAGGTATGTATATACTGTTGAGGTGTAGATCTCCATCGAATCCTGAGCTTTGGCCGGATCTTGGAAGTACTCTGTTGAAAGGCAGAGAATAAAACTTGATTCTAATGAATTATAGTGTATTGATCTCCCACTCCGTTTGAACTTTTGCAATTGATGGTTTCCGATGGACGTGGAGGATCATACTAGACATTGCATTTATCTTCTGGTGGTATCGTGAATCCATTCGGGTTGTAAGGTTTAGAGAATAAAGACCTCTTTCGAAATTTGCATTGTTGTGAGTGAATTTTAATCATACTTGTGGTGAAGAATCCATGTGTGCTTGTCACTTGTTCTAATATTAGTTCTCTGGAGGTATGTTGGCGCAGTTAATGATTCATAGGAGTACCCCTTTTTTTAGATTTTGGTGATCATATAATCGTTCTTGTAACTATTTCAATAGAGATGTATGCTTCTTTTGTCGAGCTTGAACTCAAATGTAGATGTACATGTTTAAGTCTAATGCCTTTCTCTTCCCTTTCAGTCCCTAAATTTCCCTGGCTAATCCATTTCTCCGACGAGTATGACACGTTCATTTCTTCGACCGCAGCTTGTCTTCTCCCGCCCTCGATCGCGTGCGCTTTGTCTGCTGCAACCCTCGAAGAGTAAGCATTTTTAAGCTTAAACATAACACTGTTAGTCGATGGTTTACTTGTAAATATAGAATATGCATAAAAGTATATTTGAATTCTTATTTATGAACTCTCATTTGTGTGCTTACATGAAAGCTGAATAAAAGGATAAATTTAGTGGTTTGCTGCACACCTAAACCCACTGAAAGGAACTTTTTAAAGGTATTATTGATCCCTTAGCAGGTGTTGGACAAGGAAAAACACAACAGTATGAGATACATCTATGGTCACAATTAGGGCAGATGAACTTGCCTTTTTTTATTTGATATATATATAGTACGATTGTTTTAACCAAAATGACACCATGAAGATCTTAAGCCTTGTGATATCTACTTATCTGTATTATGTATGATATGTGCAAGTTGCTGTCTTTGGATTCTTTTTTTCTTTCAGTTCGTGATCGTTGAAGATGAGATTTGATCTTTAGACCTTGCTATCAATGGTGAAGATTTTGACATCTTTGAAAATTTTATCAAATAAGATCCTGAATCCTCAACCTTTGTAAGTTGGGTCTAGTACTCATTATTAGATCAATAGTTTAGCTGTATTGTCTTGGAGAAAGTTTTAAAATCTCAACTTGAGATCAATATTTTAGGTATAAAAATATGCTGGATGAGATTTTAAATCCTTAGTTTTTCGATGGGTTTGCTACTTCACCATTATGTCAATATTTTATGTGTTTAAAAGTTTATTGAATGAGGTTTCGACCGACCTTTGTTAAGTAGATTTGGTATGTTATCATCGGACCAATGTTCTGTTTGTTAAAATATATCGGATGCCATTTTTAACTGGATATGATACACCATTATTAACCAATGTTTTAAATGTAAAGTTATAGGAAATGGTTTTGAATCCTATAAATAGATTTGTTATACCACCACTAGATATGATATTTTAATTATTATGTTTGATACTTTTATACTTTGGTACTTTGTTACATTGATGCTTTTGCCTCTTTGTTACATTGATACTTTTGATATCGTGTTTATGATTAATAAACATGATGTGAATGTGTATAACATTCATGTATCATTGGAACTTTGTCAATGGCATTCGTTTGACCTTAGACTTTCATTTAATCAATATCTCAATATCAAATTCTAGTTTTTCTTTCTCCTTTTCATGATTTGGGGGGTCTTTTAACTCAGTTTGATTATTCTTATGTTGAGTATGTGAATGAGCATGATCACATTTACTAACCCCACATGGTGTCCATTTGACGAAGACACCGTAGATGATAATAAAATCTTAATTGTGAATTCATTATACCCGACTCATGTGACAAATTTTAGGAGGTCAGCTATATTAGCTCATGAAGATTTTGATTCTTAACAGTAAGATCTTGGAATTGAATCTCGTCCTCACCCTTTATCACTTAAAAAAAAAATATATTCGTATATACAACAACAATAAAAAAACTGTAAGTTTCATTTACTTGTGGTTGGCTACATAGATCTTTTATCTCCATTGAGATTTGTGAAAAGTTATATGTAGTTAAATTCAGAGTATCTAAATTTTTATTTATAGTTTCCATTAAGGTCTTTTTTAGGTTTTCTATCAACATTAATGATCTCTTTAGACTATCGCATTTGAATATTTCCTAAGCATAAGCCCGTACCATTTTAAATGATTTTATCTCATCTTATCCTTTATCGAAACAATACTTTTATAAGTATTGTTGGTCTTATAATTATTTTATAATTTTTTTAATTACCTTTGATGATTATACAAATACCCTTCCTTGTTTTAACTATTCCATTTTTATTCTATAACTAATATCCTCATTAATCTCTTAATCTTGTTGAATAGTTGATCCAAGATACTTAAAACTTTTATTTAAATGGAGTTCTTATCCATCTAACTAATTATATTCTCATGTTTATTTCTATAATTATTAAAATTATATTTTATATATTATTCTAAGAGTTTTAATCATACTTAATCTAAAATCTTAGTTTCTAAGGCTAGCCTCTATAATTAAGTTTATAATTAATTTCATTTATACTTTTATCAAATAAGATAATGTCTTTAGTAAATGATATACACGAATTGACTAGTAAGTTTATCTATTATCAATATGAAAATATAGGAACTTAATATGGATCTTTGATATAATCTTATGCTAATAGAAAATTCACTATATACATTCTTATAACATTAATAGTTATATTATCATATATATCTTTAATGACATCAATATAATTAGTGAATATATATTTCTTTTCTAAAATCCATCATAATAAATCTCTAGGAATCTTATTATAGATTTTCTCTAAGTCAATTAAAGCTATGTTTAATTTTTTTTTCTTTTTATATATTTTCATTAATTATCTTAATAAATACATATTTTTTATGATTATTTTTTTGGCATAAAATTAAATTATTTTCAAACATATTTGTTTTAAGTTAGAATGATTTATGATATATATATATATATATATATATATATATATGTTTAAAATTATTTGTGCTTGAACTTATGATCCAATAAGTTGATCCAGTAATTTCAGTAGTAATCCAGTGATTCGAGGGTTGATGGGCTCAACACCCAATCGGGTTCAGATGACTCCTCATATAACAAAAGCTTCTTACTCTTAGACTGCAGGTCTTCGTGGCAAATGCTCTTCCGGTAGACGCGCCTTATTGTGTGTGACCTCAGCATCCAGTCACCCATGCCCGCCTGTCAGCTCCGTACCATTGGGGATGGACCACCTGAGATGACAACGAGACACACCAGAGTTGCTCACAAGCTGGCGAACCAACGTGCCTGTGACAAGTAGCCATATCACAAGCCAACAGCAGAGGCAGCTTCCCCCACCCCCGTCTCCCCAAGCTTTTCTCCACCCCTTCAGTCAAACAATGTGATTGCTTCCTCGTGTAACATCGAATCATTTCGTCATGTAATGGAGAGGAAGATTTGGCATTTCTTTCCCGTGCTCCAGCTTGATCTCTTTTGGGGCGTTAACCTGTTATGAGAATCGAACAGAGTGTGACTACACAGGCATGCAGCGACTCACCTTTAGCTTTGTTTTGCTCTCTTAACAGGGCTACGGGCCATGGGGCAAGACAAAGGCGCTGCTACTTGCTTCGTACCATCGCGATAAAGACGACAGAAAGGCAGATCTCTGTGATTTGTCTTCAATCTCTCGGTGGAGACCCACATAAATTGAAAACAGAGGTTGAGGATACTGTGCCAATGCTTTATTTGCTTTTTAAGATAAAATTGTAAAATATTTATTGTATTTTCTTATTTTTAATTAATGTATATCGTTGTGGTTAATTATTCGCTGGTTGCTTATCATTTGATCATTAGTTATTTCTCTAAATAACATTAATATTCTTCGAAACCTTATTATGATAATAAAAACATTCATATATTAACTTTAACTAATTATGATTAAAATGAGATAAATACACATTAAAATCTTTATATACATTTTTGCTGCAATGCAAGTTATAAGATTGGTGGCGAAATAGTTGTTGATGTGGCTCAGTTGTCGAAGTACATGGGACTAATGATGACTACAGTGTCATTACAAACCAATATTACTCCCACCAAAAAGTCTATGACCTGTGAAAGAGTTCGTGAGCTAATGAGTGACCGAGTCACGAGTGACACAGTCCACCTCCAAAGATTCAGCTATATACCGGCCTTTCCCCCCTCTTCCTTTCTATTCCATCGAAGGGGCAGGAAGGAGGAGAGCGGCGGGAAGTGACACGAAGAGCCGAGCGATGAGCAAGGCAGGCAATCCAGGTCTGAAGCATCGCTTCGCTCGGGCTCTTCTCCGTTCCTCTTGCACCACCTCGGCGACCACAACTGCTTCCGATCTAATCAAGCTCTCAACCGACGCTCCTCCACGCCAAGAGCCAGAGTCCTGCGCCCGGTGCCGCTCCTACAGCCGCCGCTGCACGCATCGCATCGCTCCCGTCGTGCAGGTATCCATGGAGATGAAGGCCAAGAAGAAGGAGAGGAGAGTGACCGAGAACGGAGATCTTTACGATACCGGAGCAAGAGAGGGGAGGAAGTGCCCTCCCGCGTCACCGTCTTCTCCCATGAGGAACTGGTATTACTGCTCTCGCGACAAAGACGGGAAGCAGAAAGCTCATGGGACGAAGGGAAGCAGTAGACGAACCGAAACGAGGAAGCTGCTGCCGACTGGTGATGGATTTAGCAGCTCTTCTTCGTTGGATTGCAACGACGAGCTTGGTCTCTTCAGCGATGATGACGAAGAAGAGGAAGGGTCAGGCACTCTGTTGTCGTCGAAGAGCTTCTCCTCGGACTCATCCGAATTCTACTGCAGCAACAGGGGGACGAGGAACAAGGCGACGACGACGACGAAGAAGAGAAGGAGCGAGAGCTTCAAGTCCACCCGACGCCCACCAAGAAGAGGCGACCGCGGAAGCAGTAAGCCATGGCCATTAGCGGCCCGCAGTTCCTCGACGGAGAAGAAGGCCGGATTTGCCGTCGTGAAGAACTCCAGAGATCCATACATGGACTTCCGGAGCTCGATGGTGGAGATGATCGTGGAGCGGGGGATGAGCGGCGCAAGCGACATGGAGGACCTCCTCCACTCCTACCTTTCCTTGAATTCACCTCTCCACCACCCTGTGATCCTAGAGGCGTTTGTCGACGTTTGGGAAGCGATGTTGGCTGAGCAATACATGTAATGTTGGTGATGTTCCGGCAAGGCCGCAGATCGATCGATAAACATCTCTGCCATTGTTCTTCGATGTCTGTTATTGAAATTTTTTGTTGCGGTTCTGTTCGAAAGAGTTGGCGTAGCAATCACATCTATGTTCTCATGGTACGAGAAATATCCAAAGAAATGAAGAGATCCATCAAACTCCATATGCTAATCAACACACACCCAAGTCAGCTAAAGGTTAATAAGACATCGACACATCAGACGTGGTTGGATCTGCTCTTATCTGCTGAAACAATGGCATTGAGCAACCAGAAGATACCCCTCTCTCTCTCTCTCTCTCTTGCTTGGCTGGACATGCAAGGCGCATCGTCCTCGTGCTGCTGTGGGAGTTGTTATTTCTTGTGGGCTGGTGGGATGGCGTCAAGAGTGTTTTGGACTCGCATGGCATGGCATGGCATGGGAGAAAACAGCTGCTGGTGCGGGAAGATTGGCAACGGGATTCACGCAGACGGGGCGGAATTGCGGATCCCGTGGATGCGACACATGGTTTTGGGGAGGCTTCACGGGAGAGGCGGCCGCAGCTTCGTGAGCCATCAAAGACCGTCAGGTATTTCTCCTATGAATTATTATTATTATTAATATTATTAAATAAAGTATTCTTTTGCAGTTCAGTCTGTTTAAGAAATAATGATGTTATATTATTAATTATCCACTCATCAATCTCAATAAAATGAATTAAAAGGACGTCAAGCCCCAACATAACCTGGATCAGACCCTAGTATAGTAGTACATTCATCAGACCCTTATAAGTTAATCTTAATCTTATCCACTTTCAATATGGGACTAATCAGAGGTGTTACAAAGTGATACGTCTCAGATCTCAGGGTTTGAGTGAAGACAGATGTAATACATGTTTTTTATTTTTTTAAGTTAAAATCTTATTTTCTTTACTTATCTTTGAATAAAAAAATGAAAAAAAAAACTCTCTATTTTATGATCGGAGTAATTAATAAACACTATACGCACTCTTACTCTCACAGGGCCCCACAGCACAAGACCGGCCCTTTTCCTTCTCTCCAGCAGCAATAGCAACAACGGCGTGAGCGGACCGGCAAGAAGTCGAAGGTTCAATGTAGGGTGTGGTGTGAACGGGTAAGTGAAGTATTATTATTACTCTTCGGTCAACGGTCCCGTGCTCCCAGTCTTCCTCCTGGCCTCTCTCGGACTGCCGCGCGTCCCGTGCCACCCTTTTCTTCCGCCCGCCACAGCCGCCGCCGCCTCCTCCCCTCGTCTGAAAGCGAAGCCCCGGAATCCCGTTCCTCTTCTTCGTCTCTTTCAAGCCCTGCCGTCGCTCTGCGTCCGCTCCTCCCATCAGTCACCGCGGCTAAATGTGAAATTTCGTTTAGTGGGTTCGAGCTCTGCATTCCCATGGATAGATCAAATGACGCCATCAGACACTGTGGGACTCGCATTACATAGATAGATTCACGGCATCTTCTATAAGATCAGCAATGATCGATGTAGTGGTACACTAATATAATTTAATGGGAGATATAGGAAAAAAGCAAATCTTCCTCAGGCACAGGAGGAAGATCTAACCATAGATTTTTTAGCTAGAGAAATCCTCGGTCGAGCGAGGAGTACGGGAAGGCAAGTGATGATGCTGCCCCTGAGCTCGTCCCCCTGAGATTACACTCGGGTTGGGATCTCACAGAAAGACCACCGTAATCAAAACTGCTAATCCCTAAAGGGTCAAACGTCGTTGGTTCCATCGCTGAAACCTCACCGAAGGGCAGCAAGATTCCATGATCTTTCGGAAGAGGAAGAGCAGCAGATAGACGCATCTTCTTCTTCTTCATGGACGCCTGCTGCTGCTGCTGCTTGGATTGCACGAGTCTTTGCAGGAGGTTGGGATCCTGGGCTGCTTTAACGAGGAAGGACATCAGTTGCTGCGGCCTCCTCTCGGTGGCCTGCAGTCGCCTGCTCATCACCGTGACCTCCTCATCCAGTGCCTTCTGCTCCTGCCGCAGCCTATGAAGCTCTTGCAGTAACACCCGCTCTTCCTCCCCCTCCACGCCGTCCGTGCTGCTGCTCCCATGCAACCCGCCTTCGCTTTTCCCCCTCCTCGTGACCAGAGGGAGGAGGTGAGTCTGCCCTTTGAGGAACGACTCGTGCGCGAACTCCCATCGATCGGGATCCACCTTCCGAAACCCCTGTACACAAAGCAGACGGAGAAACACGCACGTATCAGTTTGACGTGAGACGACGTCGGAAGCGTTGCGGCGAAGGAAAGATTAGGGCGGCCGACGCGACGTAGGTGTTCAGCTGGCGGATGAAGCTGGAGAAGTTGCGGTGCTTGAAGAAGGAGGGGAGGAGGAAGCACGAGAAGTCGTTGGGGTCGACCACAACAAAGCTGTTGTTCTTCTTCCCCCACCGGATCAAGAAGTCGGAGCTTGGATCCTCCACCATCTCATACGTCTTTGCTACGAATGGCGCTACTTGTTCTTGGCTTCCAGTGCAAGCTCTGCTCTTCTCTTCCATCCTAATCTACTCTATGATTTCAATCTGCAGACTCTCAGACCTTCTCCTCCTCCTCTCTCTCTCTCTCTCTCTCTCTCTCTGTCTCTGGGCTATGCTTGCTTACTTAAAAGCCATGAAAAGCCCAATCACTGTTGATTGCCGGACTGATGGGGAAGAGGGGCAGTTTAGAGTCTCTCTGTCGTCGATGGAGAACCAACTGCTACTCTTTATGTTCTCCATGGATATCAAGGGTAGATAGAGTTCACCTGTCTCGCATGAGACAAGGAACAGTTCCCCTCTCATAAGGTCATGACTCAAATCCATCTCCATAACATCAGTCGGATTGTACTGGTCCCACCAAAAAATTCACTTTTTATATTTTATTCTTTACGGCATTCTTTTTTTTGTCCCTAATATCTGAATATCCTCAGCTACCTATCATTTTAAAATATTTTTATTAAATTATAATTTTAGCATATATTACTGAAGCATCGTAAAAATATTATAATTAGATCGATTCACCTTATAGACCCGTAGTTAATTGACTATCAAATCAAAATATTTCATAGAGTGAGAGTGCAAAAAAAAAATTTATTTTTAAGAATATATATATATATATATATATAGTGATGATTTTACTATTTGATTATGAATAAAGACTTGATTAGGGTGGGTCCATGAACAAGTTATGGACTGGTATTCTTTAAAACTGTTAGAAAAATATGTATGTTTTGAGAAAGGACAAAAAGAAAATTGATATTACTAAACATTAAAAAAAATGGAATGACATATATTAATTAATAGCTTATTATTTTGGGTCTAACCGGTGATCTATCTCATATATGTGAGTTAGTTCTAATAAATTTAATGCATAGGTCAAACTTACAAATTATTGAAAAATTATGTGAGAAAGAGTAAAAAAAAAAATCAGGTATTGTTTTTTGAAAAAGTTGATATATGTTGAATATGATTCCTATGTTACTAACTTAAGCTTTGAGTAACATTAGTTTCCTCATAATCTATAGTAACGAGAGCTGGCTAGGCCTCATGATCTAAGGGAGGCCGGAAACGATAGCTCTCATGTACTGTACTCATAAGGATTCGATGGAAGTGTACATGAATCCGTAACATTCGTTCCGATCTCTAAGGTTCCGAAAAGTACAGGTTTTAACTCTATTAGGGTTCCACCTTCTAACTCGATGCTCCGGTGATGCTATCATCACATGAATCCTTGGCTGTTGCTGACTCGAAGGAAAAAGAAGATGAAGCCAATGGATATGGAGCTCAACCCATTGCTTGTCTGCTTCCATCCTACTTATATACCTACTTGAAACTTGTAACTTCTGCTCAGGATCGGGATGAAGGTTTTACAGACCATTTTTACTGACTGGCCTCTGAGAGAGAGAGAGAGAGGGGATGAAGACCAACCCATTATTACCCCCAAGAGCATTGCAAACAACCTGTTGAAATATGCTACCCTATCATCATCATCATCATCATGTCCTGGGAGCACTGTGCTGCTCGGTGCATGACTTGGTGCCCAAGTATTCTGTAGATAGCACAGGACAGCAGAGCTCGCTATCAGCAACCAACGCATCACCATGAAGGCTTAAACAGTTTGACCGGCCCGAGAGATGACATCAATGTGGCCTACCAATCCAGCATCGGTGATCTCCGAGTTAGATATACGTAAACATGCTCCATTGCATTGTTTGTATGCATAGCCATTAACTATTAGCAACTCACTGTGTCGTGGCTTGAAATTGAATGCTGGACAGTGAAGCATGGATTTCTCATGTCCACTTCTTATTTTAATCGGCTCAACCAAAAATGAAAGCCCCCCCCTTCGATTGCTGATAGCTTCTGTTGCAATGTCGATGTCTTGCCGACAAACCTTTTTGCCTATTTCGCAACATTAGAAGCGTTCCAATTCCAATTCCAATGGCCTGTGGGACTTAGAAATTATCATTTAATTATACTGTTCCTAAGCCAATCGATATGTGTTTGGAAGAATTCCATTGCGACTGTCCAACGTGCGTTGCACGTGCCTTCGGCTCGCCGATTGATCTCAGGGTCTCACTTATTGTCTCTCGATCGGTTGCGGGGCCCTTCTTCCTAGCCAATCACCAGACGGATGGTCACCTGGGGATCGTCAAATTGGTGGCGACTAGGGTCCGCTTTCAAACCTCTCAGGTGCGGGAGGTTGGGACCCACCCCCAAGGTTTCCAAAATCTTCTATCGTCTACGTGTCTCCTCTCCTTTCCTCTATCTTGTGTTACGTGTCCGCACCGCATTGGACGTTTGTAGTCAGTTTCAGCCACCACCTGTGTTACGTGTCCGCATCGCATTTAAAGTTTGTGGTCAGTTTGTGTAGCCACTAAGTTGGAACTCGTAATATGACCAATCGTTAACTGCCACGAGATAGATTGAATGGTTGTTCGACCGGGGAGAGTAACGGTGGACGTTACAAAGGAAGCGCCGTCCGCTGGACGTTAGAGATCTTTTCTCTTTCGGACGACTTTGCCCTTGATTGATCAGACGGTCCTGATAGCATCTTCCGGTGATAAAGACCGCTCTCATTCGCCCACGCACCTTTCGTGATTCC